AGAAATCTGTATACAAATGGGTAGGTGGTAAGAGATTTCATTTCTTACGGGTGCCAATGGTACTGTGCTTCCTACAGCCCTTACTTTCTGGAAGCCCATGAACCAATGACCACACAAGAGCAGTTGAAATTTGCTTTCAAGTCTGTAGGACAGTGTGTGAAGTGGGGGTTGAACAAGGAACAGACTCAATCACAAAATCACATATGGGGCTTCATTTTACTCTTTCCCTAGTTAAGTAAATATCTGAAATTCTCCCTAATTAAAAGCAAAAGTGAAAAAACAGAAACACCTCACCCACCACACTCAGGGCAGATGCTTGCTCTCTGACGCACAGGCAAGCACATGGCTTCTGTGCCCTTCCTTCCTTCCATGTGGGCTAGGGAAAGGAGGCTGGGGAAATGTTTCAGTAGAATGAGTTACTTGTAAGTTTCATTCTAACGTTGAAAATTGTGCAAATTCTGGGACAGGTTAAAGAATGAAAAAGAAAAAAAAAGACAGAACTTAGGAAGTGTACCTAAATGTTCAAACCAGTCACCACGATTAGCAGAAGCTATCTTACTTCCACTTTATATTCGTCTTCCTCAAAATGTGTACAATGAGCATGCAATCTGCAGTTTTTCATGGTCAGCAACAAATTATGTTTAATTTGTAAATTAGAACTTCCTTTTTATTTACTTCCTGTTTATTTCTTTAATCCTTACTTGCAAACTTAACTTTCTAAATTTAAAAATCACTGTAAAAGAGGGGTGAAAACAGGTGTGGTGGTACACACCTGTAATCCCAGCTCTCTGGAAATCTGCGACAGGAGGATCTTGCATTCAATCCCAGTCTGAATAGCTCAAAAACTTAGCAAAGCCTTGTCTTAAAATAATGAAAAAAGGGTTGGGGAGATAACTCAGTTCAAAGGCTCTGGATTCAAATCCCAGTTACCAGGAAAGGTGGGGCGGGTAGGTACAGCTGGAAAAATGTTTAAGCTTTTATTTTTAGGCTGTCTGTCCTGTGGGAACAATGAAATGTGTCTTTTCAAAAGTTTCTTCATATATAAGTCTTACATTTGTCAGTTTGCAAGGAATCATGCTTCCCAAGGCACCACCCCAGGGCATCCTCATTCTTGGGGTGACAGTGTGTTCAGAAACAGCAATCTTCCTGGGAAGTTGAGTCACTGCCAGGAAAATGAAGCTGTCAACTTCTTGGCACAGCAGCCAAGCCAAGTGCAGGGCCGACGCAGCTGTGGGCTGACACCAGAGAAGGCTGTTTTCTGGTCTTTCTACACCTTGCCCCCCTCTTCTGACAGATGGGAGAAATTAATCCACACATTTCATTAAAGATGACCTCAGAAATATGTGGGGGATATGTCTTACATGATGTGGACTCAAAATTATGTAAATTTAATTGTACTCAAACGATGTAAATCTCAAGAATTCTTAGACACAGCTGTCACAGTATAGGGTTTAGGAGAGAATTTAGGGCCTACAAGGGAGCCCAGGACTTAAAGAGGTGTAGGATCCTGTTTCCTCTTTTGTGGAGGTCCTAAAGGTAAAGAAGAACAATACCTGTATCTCAAACTCCCTAATTCAAACCACTTCTGCAGAGTCCCTTCGCCATGCAAGATCCCTGAGATGAGACAGACATCTCCAGGACTATTATTCTACCCACCACTTCTTTAAAAAACCAGATTCCAGCCCTAGCCCTGGAAATTGGGATTCACTATTAGGAACCCACTACCACTGTCTAGATTCTAGAATCCTGTCTAGATTCCCCTCTGTCCAGGCTGCTGTGGAAAGAGGACATGTCTCTATGCTTAGGAAGCTCCTCTCCCTGCACCTACTGGTAAAGGTCAGATGAAAGGCAGTGTACATGACAGGTTCTAAAAGGGAAATAAATATCTAGCACTTGGTTTGCTACACCATCCAAGGCACACTAGCCTGCTGTGTGTGCCTGCTGTGTAGGCCACCATCAAAGCATACACATGACTTCTCAAATGAGGTCACAAAACCTGCTCTGGTGTTTACAACTCAGGACAGCACAAACATCAAGTGAGTCACCAGGCATTTTGTACACAGTCTTCCCCTCTTAGCCTTTAGATCCTCCCACATGAGAACAGGATGGAGAGATAGTCTGCCTTCTTGTAGCCAGTTATGACACCCTATCCTGTGTTAAGGCCAAGGATCAGGTTCCCGGTACCGGAGAAAAACAAAAACAAAACAAAACAAAACAAAAAAAAGGCCAAGGATCAGAGGGGCATGGATCCGATCAGGAGGAAGGCACAGATACCAGCCGGGAACAAGCCGAGGAGAAGCCAGGGAATCACATCACCAAACAAGACAGTCCACAGGGACTCTCCCTCCCAGGGCCACTCTGAGACAAGCCCAAGTCATCTCACCGAGCTGCAGAATCAAGAACACCAGGAAAACTGGGATCTTGGAACTACTGGAAAAATCTCTACCAGACAAGAGCCTTGGAGATGAGTTTGCAGATTCCTCAGAAAAAATTAAATAAATGCTAACGAAGATACAAACGAACCTTCAGAAAAACGTTCTCGCTATACAGACGGATTTTCCAAACTTGGGAACAGGTAAAGAACTGAAGTCACTACTCCAAAGTGAGTAAGTAAATGCAAAGTCCTGAGTTCAATTCCTGACACCAAACTTTAAAAAACTCACTGAGGCTCCTTTCAAGGAAATGGAATGCACTGATGAATACATTAAAAGAAAAAAACAGCACTCATCTCATGAACTGAAGCAGCCCAGCAGGGAGTGAGGGGTAATGACACCGTGCCCCCAGGAAGCTTCTCTGCGGCTTGCACTCCTGCCAGCCAGCAGTGCTCACAAGGCCAGGCCCAAGGCCCTGCCAGGAGGAGCAGTATGAGTCTGAAAGGGTCCGTTAAACATTCTGGTCTCTCAGTGATGAAAATGAACACCAGGTTTTCAGCTGCTACTAAAGATAATGAGCATAAGAGTTCACTGACCAAGACTCCAGCCAGAAAGTTGCCATGCGTGACCATGTCTGGGAACATGGCAAAAGGCCAGGCTGTGTTCGGGACACCCACGTTAAAGGTCACCAAGGGGAATTCTGCTGCTGCTGTTATTACCCCATTTGAGCTGATAACCATGGAGACACAGACTCCTGTCTCCAATATGAAACCCCTATTTGATCTCAAACCAATTTGTCTCATCTGCTCAACTATGAGCCACATAAAGGAAAGTTGAAACCGTGAGGGCAAGCTAAAGAAAATAATTCTCTGAATGACATGTGAGCAGAGAGAGTTTCCATAAGAAAACTTAACAACCTCCTTCCTCTCCAGACCAGGAAAGAGCAACGGAAGAAACACAAGCAAGAACAGAAGAAAAGCAAAGGTTCTGGGAGCTCGCAGGGGCCTCATTATGGTTAAAGATAAATGAGTTTTAACTCCTGTAAATATTACTTCATTCTGAATTAACTTTCCTTCTATAAATATTTCTACACTGTCCTCCCTTTTCCATAGATAACTTTTGTTCATTATCTACGTAGTGTCTGTGAGTTCATGTTCCATAGCTCTGAAAGGTGTAAACATCTTAAATCTTATAAATTCTGTGCAATGGCTTTAAACTAAGTCTTTGTCAGCTCAATTTTCTTATGAGACCCATCCCAGATTCTTAACCTAGATCTGTAATGTTAACGTCCTTGTGCTTGCTGGTGCTAATATTAACAGATAGGCAGTCCTCTTCCAGCTGAAAGCATCCACCCGAGTTGTACAAGTTTCAACAGAATCTGAACAATGGAAGTGAACAGGAAAAGCTGCTACAGGAAGGCCACCCCTTCCTCCTCCACAGAAGCTACGAATCTTAAATGAGCTGGTCCCATGGTTTGGTGATAGCATCAAGATCTTCCCTATGTGAAAAATGTTTTGTTTAGGAGTATAAGCACCTTTGTGTTTCTTCATGTAACTGCCATTTGTTACGTGCTATATTATTAAAAATAAAATTCTACAGCTGAAAAAAAAAAGATATTATAATTCACTTTATAGTAAAAATGACACCAACTGGTCCAGACAACTCATCAGATCAAGAGGCTGACCACTTTCTACAAAGACTGAAACTGGCACTGTTCGTCTCCCTCTGCAAACAGATGCACAAAGAAATGGAAAGGGAAGGAACCTATCAGTGGGAAGAAAATAATAATCAGGAATAAAACTATAGACCACCAATTCCCTGACAGAATTGCAGCTCCTCAGTAGCCCTAAAACTAAACAAACTGGGGAAAATATTTCTCTAAGCAACTACTGATATTAAGCACATATAATCTTGGATTCAGTAATTAGAAGGGGAAAACAAGGAAGGGTTTAATCCTCCCACATATGAGAAGCCTGCAAGTTCAAATACAGAACATCAGATCAGAAGGAACTTTTACGATGCAGAAGGCAAAAACAGGAAAAAGAATTTCTACTTCCTGAACTGCCAAAAATCAAAGAGTGGCATATGCTAATAAGAGCCTGTTAAGCGTGTAACTGTCCTGCACTGGTCATAGAACCAGAGTATGCACATCCTGTACGTGTGCTCCAGGTTAAGGAGTGGCCCTGACCTACCAAAGCATGAATGGTGTAACAAGGCACATGGGATAGATCTGGCTAATGACAAAGTTGAAAGGATGTGACCTGCGTACAAACCATACACATAGCCTTCTCAAGCACCATTTCTCTGTGACAGCGCAAGGCCAAGCTGCAGACAGAAGCACACTTCTGGTTCTCATACAGCATCAGCACAAAGTAATAGGAGGCAAAGATGAGTTAGAACGTCACCCAAATTGTAATGTAGAAACTCTAATCATGAATTGTTTCCCATTACACAACATACAGTTGCTTAACATACTGAAAATACTATCAATTACCAACAGTCACCACTTGGTGAAATGAAAGCTGCTAGGATAACATTAAAGTGGCTTTTATTTCACCAAATAAAGAAGAGACAAGTTTGTTTGTTGATTTTGTAAGACTTTATTTCCAAAAGTTGTTAACCACTAACCTGCAAAGGAGCGGCGTTTTATGTTCAGCTCATTTGCCACGCGGACCTCAGTACAGAGTTTCAGCATCAGTAACATGGTCAGGATCATGATTATGCTCTGCCACAGGAGGGGTGACTCAAAGTGCCTTCCAAACCTGGAGCAGTAAAGAGACTGTATGTCAGAAGGAAGCTGGACATCAGCCTCTACCAACATATCCACAGGAACCTCTCCTTGGCCAGGTCCCAAGCCACAACTGGGGAAAGAGACCCCTGGGACGGATTTGGCACTCACTGTGGCCGTGGCCGTGGCCATGGCCTTTGATCAACACAAGGCAGAAGCAGCACCTAAGATCTGTAGCTCAGACAAGTGCACCCCCAGATCTCACTGATTCAGAGTCAGTTCCAAGTCTGCTCAGGAGACAGCATGCCACTGAATCATTCACCTGGTTACTGTGACAAGGAACTTGCCAAAACCACACCATGAATTAAAACCAAAAAAGCTGTTCACAAGGCTCAGTGGTGACACTTTTGCCAGCAATTTATAAAAGACAAAAGTAGACACAGCCTGGTCTCACAGCCCTTGAAGAATGTGTGTGAAAGATCTGCTTACACAGTAAGAAAACTATACAGGCAGCGCAGACAACTAACCTCCAATTTACCCAAGTACCACCAGTCAGCACTTGCAAGCTCACAAATATATTTCACTACCAGAGTGTATCATAACCCATTGAAGCCTCTGGGGGCACTCACACTCCTCTGATGGGGACTTGAGGCAGGAGCTCCCAGCCCAAGTCAGCTAGCCCAGCAGGTGAGAAAGCATGGCTTAAAGGACGGCAGACTGCCAAGTGCAGTTCTCTCAGCCTGTAACCAGGATAAGTCTCAGATCTTCTCCTGGTGTGCGGGGAGCCCAGACAGAACCCTCAGATTCCATTATGAGCCTTCTGCGCAGGTCCCGGGGGCCAAGGCCTCCCCATGTCTCCTGGGAACTCATGAACCCAAAGGACCAAGCCTAAGGCCAAGGAAGCTCTGGGAGCTAATGGGAAAGCAGAGAGGTGAGCAATCTAAGTTTAGGTGGTTGCAGGGACCAGGGCACAGACAGACACACCAGCTGCATCCCCAGGAAATGTCACCCAGAATCCTTGCCCCATGAGGCCATCAGGAAATACCAGGTGAGGAACCAAGACAGACTGATGCAAGATACGGTTGATGAGCCAAACACCAGGTCAAGATAAGACCCGGCTGGGAAGAGGTACAGTAGTCGTGACGGGTTTCTAGGCCAGAATCACAAGTCGGGGTGCAGCAGGCTTATGCACTCTGCCCACAAGCAGCTCTGGTCACCATGCTGCCGCCCACAGGCCTGTGCACCTGGGACACACCATCTCCAAGCTTTTGTCCTTCACCTGTGAGGGACAGACCCTAAGCCTAAGGTGTTGCGACACAGAGCCAGGCCCATGGTCCTTCTAGGCACTGCTGTCCACTGGCTATGTGGGTGGCCAACTCACACATGCAGAGGTCGGGCGGGCCAAGGCCCAGTGAAGGCACCAAGTCAGGCACATGGAGCTGACCATTCCAGAGGAAACTATGTGGTCCCTGCCACATCCTGAGCAGGTCAGCATCATAACAAAATGAGTTACTTAATCAAGAACCCAGCAGGGAACCTTCAACCAAGTTCACTTTTGGTTACAGTGAGCCACTGGCTGACAGTGAGCATTTCCAGACCATTATGACTTAAAAGTCACTTCCGTTTTTCAAATGGCCAACAGAAATAATAAGACTAGAAAAACTACATTTTAAAAAAAGCAAAGAGGCTGGGGATTTAGCTCAGAGCACATGGCCTGCCTGGCAACTGCAAGGTCCTAAGTTTGATTCCCAGTACTGGGGAGAGGAAAAAAAAAAAGCAAAGGGGCGGGGGATTAGCTCAGCGACACAGCGCCTGCCTGGGAAGTGCAAGGTCATGAGTTCGATTCCCAGTAGGAGGGGGGGCAAAGTTTGTACTCCCCATATGCCACACCCACAGTCAGATCTAGATGAAGTGGACATTTACAGTAAGGAGACCATTTGACATGAAATAAGAGAGCGGGGTTAAATATTTAGCTGATTTTAGGTAAGGACAAACTAGGTCACAAAATTTCGAAGAGCACACCTTTCCACAGAAATACACAAGGGACAAAATAAACAGAAAACAAAGTTCAACGTCATTCATTTAAAAAGATAATTTAAATAGAAAGGTACTATTTTACTTGTCAAATTTAGTAATAGTCTGGTTGGTGAGGCAGTGGGAAAGCTCACCTCTCCTGCCTGAGACTGGGCTAGCACAGCTCCTCTGAAGGTGAGCAGTGGCCCTCATCACACAGGCACATGTGCTCACACAGCGGATTTCCCACTCAAGTGGTTTGCACACAGCGGGGGACGCACACGGTCTGACCAAGGAAACAGTTCTACAGAGGACAACTTCTCCATGTTCCAAGCCAAGAGAAAAAAACTGGGATGGAAAAGAAGCTGTGTACTTATTCCCCCATGCAACACTAAAAACAACACCTTAGGAGCAGAACATTCCTGCCTCTCAGATGCAGTGTTTTTCCTTCTTACAGACAAGAGCACTGACCAGCACTGGCCAGCATCCAACCTGCACCCTGCCTGCCTCCCCCAGCATGGAGAATGAGAACTTTGATGGTGCAACCTATGGTTCTGGGACCCGACCCTGAAGCCCACCTCCTCACTCACCTACGCTGGCCTCTCAGTTTCTCCTCTATGTAATCACTGCCTACAACCATTACCTACAAGGATCACTTGACTTTCCCTTGGCTTCTGATGCCACAAATGCCAAATTCTGACATCAACACTGCATGTAGTGTGATCTGCTAAATGCTAATTTTGCAAAAAACAGAAGAACTGTAAAAAACAAGGGTATGACAGTTATGAAATTTTCAGAATCCCAAGTTTACAGTTAAAGGGCTGGGGATTTAGCTCAGCGGCACAGTGCCTGCCTGGCAAGAGCGAGGTTGTGAGTTTGGTTCCCGGTACAGGAAAAAAAAACAAGTTTACAATTAAATCAGCCACTTCCTGCAGGACTGTAAAACCAACAAAGGTAGGATGCTTCCTCAAGGGCCTGGAGCTCTTTAGTCTGGGACCCAGCCAGGACTGGAAGCCACTGAAGAGTCTAACTCCACCACTGTCCTACAGCTGAGGCAATATCCAACTCACTTGAAGCCTGCCACAGTCCCAATCAACTCTCCTCCTCCACCACTCCCAACCCATAACTGTGTGTACATGTGTGGGCAATGCACATGCATGTGGTATGGCCCATACCCTAAAGCACAAACCCTGCGGGCCTCAGGCCCTGTCTGGCACATACGGTGTTCTCAAAACCTATGAATCAAAGAGACTGACCTGGAGCCTGGAAGTCAGCAGGAATAATGGCTGCAAGAGGCTCCAAAAAGAGGAATAAAAGGGTTGTCACACAGCCTTGGAGTAACAGGATCTCTACAACCACAGAGCATAGGGCTGAGAAGATGCGCCCCAGTGCCTGACTCCACTGGGAGTACCAGACCAGTCCCAAGCTAACTCCAGGACACTGGCCTCATTACCGACCTCTCCAAACCAGATGCTCAGATGTACAACAAATACTTTATTTTCTTTACAACTGTAAACAATAAGCACACTGGAGAAAAACTCTAACTGGACCTTCTTTCCATATGCTAATCCAACCCCAGGCAGTTCATATTTTGTAGGAAATTTATTCCACAACCCTCAAGATAAGTACAATGTTCCTTCACAACCTGAAGACTGGGTCTGGCTGGCCTGGGCAGCCTGCCTGAGGAACTGCGCCCCACTTCCTGTGCTTAAAAGTAAACAACAGTTTTAGACAGCTATATTTAGGGATCTGCTTTTATTCAAACTTAGACTTAATTTAGGCCACTTCAGTGCACCATGTCAGTCATGTAGCACTGGGGATACACAAAGTGGCTTAAATGCTCACCATTTCCTATGTCCTTCATGTGAATGCACAGTGGAAAAAGGTACAATCACCTCACCCCAGGAGAAAGGAGAAAGGAATCCTGAAAATGTTTTAAAATGTGGTTAAACAAAATAAGGATCTCTAATTCCTTCCCAAGAAGTAGCTCCATCCAGAGATAAACCTTGAGGTGACATTTTCCAATGTTGCTACCCTGGCCAAACCACCCCCTACCTCAGAGTTCAGTCTCCCAGGACAGGAGCAGTCAACTCACTAGCTCACCTTCTAAAAATTCCAGGCAGGAGCAAAACACCCTCCCAAGGGCACTGTAGATCTAAGGCTGCCTGCCCCAGGACTAGCACAGCACGAACAAAACAGAAAACTTCTGGCTCATAAACTCAAGGTGGATATATTCATCAAGTGTACACATTTTAAGTCAGTAAGACTGATTTATTTGTTTTTTTCCAGTACCGGGAATAGAACTCAGGACCTCGTGCTTGCCAGGCAGGCACTGTGCCACTGAGCTAAATCCCCAGCCCCAGTAAGACTGATTTAAACACTAGTGAAAACACTGATACGTGATTACTCCAACAGTGACCAAAGAATCAAAAACAGAGCTCTGACAACAGCTGCCTGGGCCTTTCTTCCTGGCTGACCATCCTCTTGAGAACAGAGGGGCTTTCCTATCCGCACAGAAACCCTGGGACTACTCAGAAGGGAAAAGTCTAGACTTTTTGACTGCAGGATGTGGCTATGATTATCTCTTCATTTCTTCTGAGAATTCACCCTCCCTATTACATCTGGATTCAACTGTTACAACTAACTTCAGGGCTGGGGATGCAGCTCAATGGCACAGTACTTGCTAGCATGCACCAGACCCTGGGTTTAATCCCTAGTACGACAAAAGAAAAACAAAGAAAATAATTTCAATTTCCTTCGCAGAATGTAAGCAACAATACAAAGAAGTTGGCCCAAGAGGAACAAGAAAAAATTGTCTCTGCTTGAGTATTAGACAGAAAATCTGACTTTAAGAAACAAAGTCACACAAGAAGGGAGTGAGAAGGGCTGGCCAGGACTGCCCTCTCCACAGACATCCGGGCAATGCTACCTCTGCTACCCTTCCACTAAAAACTAAAGGGCAGGGACAGAGTCCTAGGTCAATGCCCACAGGGAGGCCCCAGGAAGTGCCAGATGAAGGGAAGCAAGGCATTACATAAAGAGGCAGACCTGGAGATGAAATTTGAGATTCTCAGTTCCACTTTTCCCAGAGAACTATCATCCCCAAAAGTTCAGTGACTCTCTTGGGGCCGCAACACTGGCTAGCCGAAACATGGTCGCCAGACAGCCAAGGCGATGAATGGATCCTCTAGAAGAGGGAAACACATGCACCCTACCCCTCATTCCATCTGAAACCCAGAGGAGAAAGCCACCCGTCGAAGAGGGGCCCCAGATCGGAAAGTCCCCAACTTACCAGAAGAGGATCCGTAAAATATTGGCCACCAGCAGCACCAGACACACATGAGTGGAGAAACCGTCGGCATTCTGCGTCCTCCGGATATCCCTGTACTGAGGGATGTACGGCACCACCCCTCCAAAGACTATGGCCCCGGAGGCCCCCCAGGAGACCAGCTGGTGCAGCGGGACCAGAAGCCAACCCAAGCCTTCCGCCTCCATGCTGGGCTCCGAGCCGCCCTGCCGGCGGGCGGGCGTCCACCTGGCCCGAGCCCTGCGCTCTCCCTGGCTCCGGATCCTCACGTGGCCAGTCACCTCCGCATCTCGGCCGCCGGTCTAAGCAATCCTCCAGCATCCAGGCCTGGCAAGGGAAAACAGCAGTAAAAGAGCCCCGCAAAAAGCCTGCCCGCGCAACAGGGCCTGGGGCGACCCTGTAGGCAGCGCTGCGAACCCACAGCCCCGGAGCCCGACCGCTCCCCCGGACCGCGCCCGGCCTCCTGCTCCGGCAGCGGGAGGGAGGCGCAGGGCGCACGGCCCGTGCGGGAGGCGAGAGGACGCCACTGG